GGTTGCGATCCGTTGCCGGACACGGAAAAAAGACAAAAAAAAAAAAAAAAAAAAAAAAACTGGAAGCATCCCAGGTGAACATGAATAGGAAAATGGCTAAGTAAACTGCAATATATTTAAACATGATGGAATCTCAAAACCATCATGCCAAGTAAAAAAGAGTCTTACACAGAAAAATACATATGATTATTTTCATATAATACTCTAGAAGAGACAGATCTAATCTATGGTGGAAAAACAAAACAAAACAGTGGTTGCCTCTGGTGTGTGTTGAAGGCAACTGACTGTGAAAGGGCATAAGGAACTTACTGGACGTCTGATGGTAATTTTCAATATCGTGATAGCAGTTTAGGTTGCACAGGTATATATATTTGTCAAAATGCAGTGAAAGTGCAGTTAAGATTTGTGCATTTTGTTGTTGCAAATTTTACCTCAAAAGAAGAAAGTAAACAAATACCAGACTTTAGTTAATGATATGAGTGCTGTGTATTTAGGGGGAAGTGTACTGATGGCTGCTTCAAAATGCACCAAAAATAAGACGGAGTAATGAATGGATAGAGGCACAGATACATGGATAAATACGTGATATAGCCAATTACTAAAATATTAATGGCAACATCTAAGTATGGCTATATGACTATTTACTGTAAAATTCTTTCAACTTCCAAAATTTTCACAATAAAATGTTGGAAAAAAAAGGAAATGACACTGGATTAATTCAGAAAAAGTTGTATCAGACTAACATCATGTCTTTTTTATTTTAACAGGGTTATTACTAGAATGGTAAATCAGAGAAAGATAATTGACAACATATTTAGACGCTGATAAATTTGTATCTCTCTTCATAACCTGATCAGGGCAGAAAAACAGGCTGCATAAATAGCCATGATAATAGCTATTACTCATTGCATACAACCTCTTACTAGATACTTTCCTGGAGTATTTCACGTATAACTACTGTATTTGTTCACCACAACAACCCTATGAGATAAATACTATTATTATCCATGTTTTACAGATAGGGAAACTAAGGCATAGATACTTAGGTAATTTGCTTAAGGTCATATAGTTAGTAAGCAGCAGAGCCAGAAATTAGAATCCAAAGAGTCTGGTTTCAGAACTCCTGCTTTTAACCACTTCCCTGTAAACTCTTTAGTTGACTTGTAACTGACATAAGGTAAGACATGGTACTCTTCTCAAGTTTGTGGAGGACATGAAACTGGGAGCAAAAGCAAATACATTACTTTACAGATTAATCATCCAAAAAGATTAAAGGACAGATAAATAGGAGAATGTAACAAGTTAAAATTCTATACAGATAGAATATAATAATATCCTGCATTTGAGTCAAACAACCAGCTGTACTTCCAAATACCTACAAATACCTAGTACATAGCTGGTATTTGATAAGAATTTGTCAAATGAATATATGATTGAATGATAGGATAGGAAGAATGTGTGAAAAAGCAGGGCTTTAATCAACCAAAAACAAAATATGAATTTAACAAATAATGCTACAATATGCTGATATATAATTATGTTACTTAGCAGTAGGTTAAATGAGAGCCCTACAAGACAGGTCAGACCAATGCCAGGTATACTTTGTTAACTGCTGGGACCTACACTTTAACAGATATAGGTAAACTAGAACAAGTTTCAAGTGAAGGTGCAGAACTGAAAGTTGTACGTACTACCTGAGGTATAATGGAAGAAATTTCTAACATTTAATGTGGAGAAAAGAAGTCAAATGAACATGGTAGCAAACTTCAAAATATAAGGTGCTATCATGAAAAAGAATCATATTTATTCTGTAACTGCCCTTAAAAATTAAATAAAGCCAATTGATAGAAGCTACAGGAGAACAAATTCATTGTCAATATAAGGAAGATAATAGCTATTACCTATTGTGTACAACCTCTTTACTAGACACTTTCCTGGCATATTACGTATATTAACTACTGCAACGAATATAACCACAAAAGATAAGGTAGGGGAAAGGGGACTATCTCAGAAGGCAGTTCTCTGGTGGACTGGCCGGTTAGCCCAGTTGGTTAGAGCACAGCCTCATAACACCAAGGTTACAGGTTTGAATGCCTATACTGGCCAGCTGCCAAAAAAAAGAAGGCAGTTCTCTGGAGTCTTTTTTATAATGGCACAAATCCTATTCATGATGGTTCTGTCCTCATGACCTAATCATCTCCCAAAGGTCCCCCTCCAAATGGGATTAGGAGATTAGGCTTCAACGTATGAATTTTGAGGGACTATAAACATTCAGTGTATAGAAGTTATAAATAGAAAATTTAGGAGAAAAAAACACAAATGGCCAACATCTGAAAAATGTCCAACCTCACCAGAAATTAAATATAAATTAGAACAATTAATATGAAAGTAACAATAATAATAAATTAACAATTAATAATTTGTGTACTTAGTGCTGATAAAGGGTGCAACAAAAACAGATACATTCATAAACTCCTAGGAATTAATTTTCAAAATATTTACAAAGAAGGTGGAATATCAACAACTTTTTAGATGTTTATAGTGTTAGACCTACTAAGTGCATTTCCAGGGATAAATCCAAAGTCCAGAAAATCTGAAGCACAAAAAATTATAGAAACATGGATATTCACTGTAGGTTTATAATACTAGTGAAAAAAAAATGGAAACAACCTCAATGTCCACCTGTAGGTCAATAGTTAAGTAAATTAAGGTACATCTATCCACTTATTCAAAAATAACACCACTGAATACTTGTTTGCCAGCCACAATGATAGGTGCTGGAAATAGAAAAAAGAACGAGGTAGCAATAGACTAATTTGTGACCATTTAAATAATGTTTATGGGGCCGGCCCGTGGCTCACCCAGGAGAGTGCGGTGCTGATAACACCAAGGCCACGGGTTCAGATCCCATATAGGGATGGCCGGTTCGCTCACTGGCTGAGCGTGGATTGCTCACAACACCAAGTCAAGGGTTGAGATCCCCTTACCGGTCATCTTTTGAAAAAATAAATAAATAAATAAATAATAAATAATGTTTATGAAGGATTTCAATAAAATAAGGACATGTTTATGATATGCCCAGTGAACAAAGCTGAATCTAAATTGCGTAAACTTATGTAAAACAAAATATGCCAAAATGTTAATAACAGTGGTTGTCTCTGAGTGATAAGTATATGGGTTTATTTTTTCCTCCTCCTTTGTATTTTTCTGAACTTCCCAAATTTTCTAAATAAATAAGTAAATAACTTTTATAGTTTCCCTTTAGAGCTATGAATCCAAATGTTTAAGAACTGTAAACCTGCCACAAAAGTGCCAGTTTACCTGTTGCAATAATAAACTGCATTACTGGGATCCAATTCTATTGCTTGTGTGTAACAATCCACTGCAGCAGCATAATTTTCTTCTTTCATGTGGTTATTACCTAAAATAAAGTAATCAACATGTACAGTAAGTATGATATACAAAAAAAAAAGGCTGACATAAATTTTAATCATAGAAACTACAATAACATGAAGGTCAACCACATGATTTTTCAGTCACACTGGAGATAAATTCTATATTATACTATAGAATTGATATTCCTTAGCTTTCAGTGTGTTTGAACGATTTTAACAATGAAGAGTCTTTAAAAATTACTGTTCATATACCTTAACAAATCGAGGTAAATGCAACAATTAGGATTATCTCATGGCAAAACTGAACCTCTTCTCACCTTCCTTACCTCTTTTATGGCTGCCCCACCCCGTTCCAGATGCAACACCCTCCCTAACCAGCATCTCATTCAGGACCTGGTTTTCCCCCCCTTCCCTGTCAAGACACATATTTGCTGAATAATCAAGGTCTTAGAACTCTGTTGTGGGTAAGCTGGTAAAACTAATCATGCTAACATGCTACTGGCAGATAATATTCTTATGTGCTATTCCTTCCAGAGATAGAGTCTTTTTAAAAGGGGATTTGGGGAGATTAATTTCTAAAAAGATATTATTTCAGATACCATAACTAGCCTCCAGATTACTGACTTTCAGGAAGGGCATCTGCAGATACATCTGGCAATAATTTAGCTAAGTTAACAACTGGTCAGCAAAATAAGGGATTTCCTGTGGCTATCTTTTGTATTCCACTAAATGGGTGGAAAGAAAAGTGTCTTGACCACTTATAAAAATCAGTGTCCATAATTAAAAATATTAGAACGATTGGTATTAGGAGGAAGGATTTATATCTCTAAGGCCTCTATGATTCCTTCCAGCTTTCTGTATACCAGAAGCTCTACTATTAGCCTTCTTCTTAATAGATGATTATTAGCTATTTAATGAGAGGAGGGGGGTATAAATTTGCAGGGAACAGGAAGGGTTAAAGGAAAGGCAGGTATATAAAAGCATCTAAAAATCATACAAAATTACCACAAATTAAGAATCAGAAATGAATATAAATAGTGACTGCTTGCTTCACTTGACTAGCCTTTAAAAAAAAGGGGGACTGCTAATGGGTACATAGTTTCTTTTAGGGGTGATAAAAATGTTCCATAATTGATTATGGTAGTGGCAGTACAACTCTGTGAATATACTAAAAGCCAATAAACTGCTTACTTTAAAGGAGTAAAGTGTATGGTATATAAACTACATCTCAGAATCTGTTTTGTAATAAAAAAATTAAATTGGATTCCCTTCCCCACCAAAAGAAATAAATATAAAGCCTGTAAAGAAGCTGAGAAGATAACATAGTTTTTATGATTAAGCAAAAAGTTAACAACATTAGTCCAAGTACTTATATAGATTTCTATGTCAGAGATTTTAATTTTCTGGGTTATTGAGATTTTGTTGTTGCTGTTGGGCCTTTTTATATTGGGGTGGCATTTTATTTCTATTATTATTATTATTATTATTAAAATTTTATTATATATCTTTACCTGTAAACCACATCAAATGTGTATATTCTATAATGTATATATACTTACCACAAATATATATGTATACTATAATATAAGACAATGATAAAAAGCTTCAAGTCACAAAATATTCAATATATAAAAATTCAGGCCACAAGTGAAGAAATTTGTAAAGAAAGGCCATAAATAATAACAATGAAGCACTGGCACAGCACTTTATAGGTACATGGCACTCTCCTATAAAATAGTCTCCTTTAGGGCCGGCCCGTGGCTCACTCGGGAGAGTGTGGTGCTGATAACACCAAGGCCACGGGTTCGGATCCCATATAGGGATGGCCGGTTGCTCACTGGGTGAGCGTGGTGCTGACAACACCAAGTCGAGGGTTAAGATCCCCTTACCGGTCATCTTTTTAAAAAAAAAAAAAAAAAAAGTCTCCTTTAGTTTTCACAACCCTAAGAGAAATAGCTATACTTCTGTGATGTGTCAGAGAATGACAGCAAAGAACTCTTCTTAATTTCTTCTAATCTTACTGCAGCTCTTCAGAAGCAAAGTGCACAAAATATTTGAAAGCAGTGTTCCAGGAGGTTACTAGCTGGCTAGAAGCCTTGAATAACACAGTAGGTAAATGCAACATGTAGTCTGAAATAACTCTATGCTTGATGATCTACTGTGGCCATTTGTTTTCACACAAATAGCAAAATCTGGATAAAATGAACAGTTACTTTAACTTTATATGTAACACATCTTAGATGTGACATGTCTTAGTGAAAACAAAGAATAAAAGCTTTTGGTTAAGGCAAAAGCAGTAAGTAACTCAGTCTACCCATGCTACCACAGTAAATGAATCTCACCCTGCACATCTCTCCCACCCTCATCTTACTAACATTTATTATGTCAGACTCAGCATGCAATGCAATCTCCCAGTGTTCTGCCATGCAGAGGAAGTAAACATGAGGGATAAAAATAAAATCTCAATTTGCCATTTACTTAACGTTATCACAGGAGCTAAATCAAGAGAGCTGCAAAAGTAAAATGTTAGTAGAGAATATAGTGCATCACTAAAGATTTCACACACTACAAAAATCTGGGTGGGAAGAAAATCCATCATATTAAACTATTCCAATTAGAAACTAAAATATGAAAAATGTATTTATATTTGGATAGTTTAAATCCAAATTCTTTGGGGGATATTATAACTCAAATGACAATGAGGGTCTGGTTGTTGCTTTATTTTGCATGTAATTTATGAAAATCAGACTATTCTAAGATTTTAAGACACTCTGGTGATATCATTTCTTGGAGGAAATAAAAAATGAAAACTGAGATCAGTCTATTTGTTGGAAACACAGCACTTTATACTGTCATCCTAAGAAGATAATTACAAAGTAGTGAAAAAATATATAGACAAAGATATTAAGGACAGTGTTATTTAGGATTACAAAATGATCTGTCTAGGTAAGTCTGTCAAACAGCACCATGTAACACTATGCAGCCTTTAAAAACAGTATATATTTATAGTCATAAGGAGATGACCAGGCCCAAAGGACAGAAAGAGCCTGCTCCTTTTCCATATCTACCTTCTCAGAAACCGAGTGATTTTTTAAAAAATATTCAGCTGTCTTCTTCAGAGTATGAATTAAAGAAAAGGCCATAAAATGGCCTATGTACAGCTTCGGAATATAGCATGATCTGTAATAACTCTCTGCCTACATACAGAACCAGGAATTTACTGGCTCTCACTCACTGCTAAAGATAAGGACCATGCCCTAAGCTTCTTAGTACAATTCTTGTAGGCCTGACCTAGCTCTTCTCTATAGTTTAAAGTGGCTGACACGATGGAAAAATTGAACACAGATCCTCAACAGTGAGTTATTTATTAAAACCAAGAATGCTTCAATAGCCAGGTATTAGAAAATTCAGGAATGTAGTAATCAAATGTGCAGGCTAATAAACAGTCAAGTGCCATATGCGTGCATTAACAAACTTCAAAGAACTCAAAAACACTAAACATATGAAAGTTAAAATAACACTAACAATTACTTTCCTCTCTTTGATTAAGCATAAAGAAAACTTTAGGATTCTAGAATACAAGTAGCAAATACAGTTACAAGTAACCAGCCCTTAAGTTATTTATTCTGTAAGTTTTACTCCCAACAGATCTGCTTCTCTTAAAACAAGCCATACCTATATTGTCCACAAGTCATTTTGTATTCCCAGGCACCTTACTCATCACGTTCATTTTTGTTTCACAAATGCCATGTGGACCTATGACAATACAGTCATGACAGTGTAAACCAGAATTATATCAGTTGACAGTTACTTTCTCTAGAGCTTCAGAAAGCGTTATTAAATAAGTAATTTTTGTATGAAATATTCACCTTAAATTTAGCAGTGTTTAATTAAAAACAATTTTTTTAATATTCACCTTCATCTTTTAATTGGTCAGCTTTTCCCACATCTTCAGGCACTGTGTTTGAGAGGGGCAGAATGTCATTCTGAAATTAAATAAAAATCAGTGTACTTGCATTTAACTACATAAAAACTCATCCCAGAGTACTATAAATAAAGTAGTCATAATTACCCATATTTTAGTAAATCATCTGTAATTCCATGTTATGAAATCTAACATATAAATAACAGTGTTAACAAGAAATAGGGGAAAAGTCCTCTCACATACTTTTATTCAAAATATGAATATGTGGAATTTTTCTAGAGAATAATAGGCAACTGTGAACCAATTTTATTTTAATTTGCTTTCCTCACACCCAGCAATCCCACTTTGTGAACAAAAAATCATATGATCAAGGGATTGTTTATATTAGTGAAAACTTTGAAACAAAATGTTTAATATTCTATCTAAAAGATACCCTCGTAAGTCAAAACCACAGTTTACAAAAAAGCATTCATATTATGATATTATTTAAGTATGTGTGTGCGTGCACACGCGCACGTGCACACACACAGAGAGATTGAAAATCAAAGGCTGGAATGATGGATATCAAAAGATATTAACAGTAACTTTGGGAAGTAAAAGTTTCAGTTTCTTCTATTTTTCTACATTGTCCAAATTTTTAAAAGAATGAGCACATATTAACTGCATCATGAGATTTTTTTAAAGTATAAAATTTCTATTTTTAGCACCTACTATCATCCTCAAACCTCTTTTGCATTAATAAGGTTCAAACCAAAGGTGCTTACAAAAACTAAATTGAAAATTCTTGAAATATTTCGAGTGGCACTGGGAATACAATGTATTTTTCCATTTTTGAAAGACCTTGATTTAATAGCATTGCTTTTAAACTTGACTCTGAAGTTCATAAATAAGTCTACAATTTTCAAAAAAAGCATAATTTGTAGCCACTATGCCTATATATTATATTTAAGATATATCCTCCTTACCTTTATCTTGACTAAGACTAAAATTTAAATAAAAGTGATAGATCAAACATTAAACATGTACTTTGCTAATCAGACATAAATACTCAGAAGTACAAAATCACTGATAAAGTATATGGGTCTTGTCCTTATGATTTAAAAAAATCTTTCTCTACTAATCAGTTTTCCTAAGCATAAAATATTGGAATAAAAAATATATAGAAACAAAATGGAAACCTTCATAGGTAGAGGACACTACTTAAAACTGACTGTAGCTATTTAGGGTATAATGTAGTTCAAAGACACTTTACTGCCCTACAGTACTTGCTTCTAGGGTTCCTTCTATTTTAAATCTTCCAGCAATCCTAGGCAGTTTATACATGGAGAAAAAAATAAATTTTGGGAATCAGAAATATGACATGTTGAAAAATGGATAATAATCCATTATGTTTTCCAAATCCTTCTGAATTATTTTAAAGTGCTATCATTTTACACTTTGAAAACTAATTCTCATCATCACTGAATAGATTTGAGCAGCTCATAATGTGGGGGAAAGCATTACCTACTTCAAATAAAGGGAATGAATCCATTTAGTATATAAATTTAATTAGGGGGAAAAAACAGAAAAGCAGTATCCTAAAAATAAAATGACTGATAAAACAACCAAGTACACTTGGTGACACAAATAATTTCTCCAGTTACAACAATCTTGATGCCACTTCAGATAAGTTTTAGACTTTTTCTGCTGTACTCTAACACAAACACATATGGAATGAAGCCAGAGCTGTACAATAGGACTACTAAAGGATTATGATACCACAAATAACACTATTGCAGATATACTATGAAACCACTTTCAATAAACCATATTTTTAAAATAGTAAGCAACAAATTTCTTAGAATTAAATGCAATCAGAGAGATACAACAAAAAGAATAAAAAGAGCTTCATTCAAACAGAGTGTAAAAGTCAGTTGGAGCTTCCTGAGAGGTTTAAAAAAAAAAGTTCAGGGCTGGCTGGTTAGCTCACTTGGAAGAGCATGGTGCTGATAACACGAAGGTCAAGGGTTCAGATCCCAGCCAGCCGCCAAAAAAAAAAAAAAGTAAGTTCTGGTCTCTTCAGTACTAAAGTACTAAGTCAATGGTGACAGCAGCTAGAGTGAGCAAATCCAAGTTCTGTCTCAAGTACAGGCCTTGGCACCTAAGAGTAAAGAACGTCTGCTTCACCATAGCCATAAGCAGCCACTGAAACTGGGTTCCCTAAGGGGAGGCCACAAGCCCAGACCATGAAAGAACCAAAGCCCACCTTAACCAAAGGGAAGAAAAAGGGAGTTCCCTAATGAGGAACAGAGAGACATGTCATTGTCTATTTACGTCTTGTCATATAATTAGAATTCACCTTTTTGATGAATTAATGTGTAATTGCATTATTCTTTTTCCAAGTATAAAAAGAGGGAGTCATTTACTCCCAAATTACCATCTTCATAGCAACTCTAAGAACTTCTTCCCAACAATTTCCACAAACAGAGCCTGGAGAATCCAGTCAAATGTGGTATTGTCAACAGTATACCTTCCAGGCTGAAGTATACACTGCATGTTTCAGCTGCACTCCTGAATTCTTCATTATGTATTAAAGCTCAAATACAGAGTTAGAAAAATAAAATGAGTTACAAACAGAGCCTGGAGAATCCAGTCAAATGTGGTATTGTCAACAGTATACCTTCCAGGCTGAAGTATACACTGCATGTTTCAGCTTCACTCCTGAATTCTTCATTATGTATTAAAGCTCAAATACAGAGTTAGAAAAATAAAATGAGTCCATGAGGCACCAAAATGTAATGAAAAAATATATGGGAGGTAAACTAAACTCACTAACCAACTCACTAATCTTAAAATATTTCAGACAATCTGATGGTCTATGTTTACTGAAAAGACCAGAAATCAGAGACCAAGCAAACAATCTTTGGGAACAGGATCAGAAAACTTGTATTTCAGTCTTGGTTTTGCACATTGACTCTGAACCTTTCCCTGTTTTAAAAAGCCCCGTCAATGGCCAAATTTGATGAAATCCACTTTAGAAATGATGGTTTCAATTCCAAATGAATCTATTTCTTCACAGTTGCTTTCTAGACTTTAAAACTTTTGTTTTTCATTTGTATTCCATGTTTTAGAGTAACATCAATTCAGATGTCAGAAATCAACAAATACTCAGATACTGTAAAGGACTTAAAAGCTGACTAAGACATATTATTAAATATAAAAGAAGGTAAAGGATGAGAATAGCTACTAATATGAAAATATAAAACACATTAAATGAGTTATATTTTAGATCCCAAATTATATCCATATAGTATATCTATCTTATACCCAGGAAGACATTAATTACTTATAGGCTTGGCCCCTCAACGATTAACAACCCAACATAAAATTGTAGTCATACTTAGATCAGATACCAATAAGAAAACAATGACAACATACCTTACAGAAGGAATTCGTGAACATTTCGGTCAAAGGCTGTGAAACTGCTAGGTGTGTATCTTCTGGGCTGATCTTAAAAACTGTCTCCAAGCACTGAATTGCAACTTGAAATAAATTTCAATAGTGAGAAAGAAATTAACAACTTAAAAAAAGAAACAACCTTTCTTTTCCCCCTCATAGGACAGCAATCTGTGGTGATTCAGTATTTATGATCACAGAACCATAAGGCAAACTAATTGGTTCAGCTGCATAGAGATTTCTGTTTATAAACCAGCTACTGAGGGAAGATGACTTGATTTCTTATTCCTTACTTAAAGAAAATGTTATTTAGAATGTAATTTCTCAATATATGTATGACATCATATTGTTGTTGAAGGCTACCAGAAAGAAAGAGCAAGCCATTAACAATTTACTCCCTACTACAAACCTAAAATATTATCTTTTTTTTTTAATGTGAGAAATAGAATTCTCAATCTGATTAAAAACAGTAAGAAAAACACCATCCCTAACACATAGGAAGCACTAAGTATTAATCCTGGTGTACTTATGTGAAGATAGATAAGTTAGTTTTAAAAAATTCATTCATGCATGCCAGTGTACCAAGCGCTTAGAATGTGTAAGGTGGCATTGTACAGTGACAGAAAAACAGCAGCAAACCTAACAGAAAAAAATTACTGTCTGCATGATGAAGCTCATATTTAATAGAAAGAGGAAGACAAACACAATAAGTAAAATATATAGCATGTTAAATGGTGATAGGTACCTCGTCTATTTTTGGTGTATGACAAGATAACAGGTTGGTATGGCTGGGGTATGGACTGGGTGGGAGGACATGGTGTGAGGTCATGATAGAAAGGAAGTCTGTCATCACGTACACGGCAGCTTAAATGGCATTTTTAAAAGATTTGGACTTCATGGAATGGGCAAATGGAGAACCACAAGAATTTAGTGAAAGAGAATAACACAACTGGATTTGGGTTTAGAAGTAAAATTCTGGTAAGAACATTGAGAATGGATTAGAGAGGAAAGCTGGGTGAGAAAATGGAAGCTGAAAACCAGGTGAGTTCCTACTTAAATGACAATAAACAAACCAGCAACCCTAACTAGGGTAATAACAGTGAAGAGTGCATCATCTCTCCTCTCTACACGTACCTCCGACGGAAATGGAGGCAGATTCTCATCCTGATACTGCTCTAGTTTGAAAGGAATTCTCTCCTCCCTTCACAAGATGAGAGGGTAGCCAAAATGTCCAGTGTACTTCCAGACAGTGTGGAACAGATTTGCTTACATTTGTATGTGACTTTTTTTTTTTTTTTTTAAAGATGACCGGGAAGGGGATCTTAACCCTTGACTTGGTGTTGTCAGCACCACGCTCAGCCAGTGAGCGAACCAGCCATCCCTTATATGGAATCCGAACCCATGGCCTTGGTGTTATCAGCACTGCACTCTCCCGAGTGAGCCACGGGCCGGCCCTGTATGTGACTTTTATAAGATATGGTCCTGGGCCGAGCCCGTGGCGCACTCAGGAGAGTGCCGCGCTGGGAGCACAGCAGTGCTCCCGCCGTGGGTTCGGATCCTATATAGGGATGGCAGCTGTGCTCACTGGCTGAGTGCCGTGCGGCCAGTCTCAAAAAAAAAAAAAAAAAAAAAGATATGGTCCTGAGAAAATTATCTGTCATAAAAGAAACTATTACTTTCACTAGCCACAGAATAATTCTCCTTAGAAAGGGACTGAAATAAACAACTAAGTTAACAATGATAATAAGTCAAAGTGTCTTGTAGATATAAAATAACCTATTTACCCATCCCCCATTCTCTCCCTTTCTATTACTGCCAAGCAGTTGTACTTGCACTTAAAACATTGGACAACAAGAAAATAGGCTCTCACTGCCATGAAGACATTTATTTAAAATAATAATAATAATATTAAATGCATATATATGTATATATCTTGATGTACCTCCTCCCTCCTTGATCAGATTAGTCATTTCCTTTACTGTTCCATGTAGCTTGTACATGTTTCTATTATTGCGCTTATCACACTACATTACATGCACTTAAATGTATGTCTTCCATATTATACTGTCTCCTTGAGGACAGGGCCTACATCTTATTCATCTTTGACTTTAACATTCTGGCAAATAGTAGGTGCTCAATAAATTTAATCTACTAGCTTCTTTGTTTGCGATGGAAGTCATATTTTAATTTCAGAGGAAATAATAATTATCCGTGGTTAAGAGCATTTCTCCATGAAAAAAAAACCCCAAAAACCAAAAAAACCATTAATTCATAGCCACGTGAAAGATGGATAATAACAAACCAAGCCGTTAGCTAAAAATCAGAGTATGGAACTTCAGAGCTAAACACTTACAGGTGAAAAGTCCATGTGATGACTCTGAGGGATTTTATGCCCCATCTTGTTGAGGCAATCCAGTCCAACTTCTTTATCTCTGCTGCCACTAACCTTAAAACACAGAGCTAGCACATACTAGACATGATTAATAGTAAAGGAGGTGGCTTTTTTTTTTTAAACACAATTCTGTTTTGATAAGTAAATCTAGTTTCACTAACACCTATTTAGAAAGAAATATGGTTTAGCGAATAAGCTACCACAGCCTTGGAACTCAGACTATCTCATTATCATTATTAAACCAGGCGAAATAGGGCCGGCCCGGTGGCGCACTGGATAAGTGCGCCGCTAGGGAGGTGCGGCGGCGCTCCCGCCGAGGGTTCGGATCCCACATACAGACCGGTTCCCGCTCGCTGGCTGAGCGAGGCGCGGGAGCAACACCACGGGTTGCGATCCCGTTGCCAGTCCCCGGTCCGGTCCGGGGCAACACTGAGGGTTGCGATCCGTTGCCGGACACGGAAAAAGACAAAAGACAAAAAAAAAAAAAGAAAAAAAGAAAAAAACCAGGCGAAATAAATAGGTAAATAATCTGGGTGTAATAATTTAACTTACTTTTACCTCAACATTCTCATTTATGAAACAAAGATTATGACATTTGTTTCTCCTTTCAGGAGGAACACTCAGGAATAAGTTATAAAAATCTAAAGAAATGCTACATGTTCTTATTGTTCCACTTTAACACCAAACAAATACAATGTGTTTGGCAGTGACAAAGAGAAAGTCAAGTGAAGAAATCTATTCAAAAACACCATATCCCACCTATATAGCATTTAGTTTAAAAGTTTTCACATGCTATGTACCTGCCATTCACTGATTCACTGATTCTGATTCTCTTGACATCTATTATTATTTATTTATTTTATCTTTTATTTTTGGCAGTGGCTGTATGGGGATCTGAATTCTTGACCTTGGTGGTGGTGGTGGTGGTGGTGGTGGTATTATTATTATTATTATTATTATTATTATTATTATTATTATTATTATTATTATTATTATTATTATTATTATTATTATTATTATTATTATTATTATTATTATTATTATTATTATTATTATTATTATTATTATTATTATTATTATTATTATTATTATTATTATTATTATTATTATTATTATTATTATTATTATTATTATTATTATTATTATTATTATTATTATTATTATTATTATTATTATTATTATTATTATTATTATTATTATTATTATTATTATTATTATTATTATTATTATTATTATTATTATTATTATTATTATTATTATTATTATTATTATTATTATTATTATTATTATTATTATTATTATTATTATTATTATTATTATTATTTTGGCAGCTGGCCATTACAGGGATCCAAATCCTTGACCTTGGTGTTATAACACCTCACTCTGACCAACTCAGCTAACCAGCCAACCTGACATATCAGATGGTGAGGGGGCAGATATCTCCACCTAATACACTCAGAAACTAAGATACAGACCAACTGAGTGATATGCTCAGGATCACTGGATTCAATTCATCAATTCAATTCAAGAAATATTGGGGCTGGCCAGTTAGCTCACTTGGTTAGAGCGTGGTACTGGTTACAGCAAGGTCCAGGGTTCCGATCCCTGTACCAACCGGTCACCAAAATTAAAAAAAGAAAAGAAAAAAATATTTATTGATCACCTACCATGTGTCAGGTACTTTTCTAGATAATTTCAATATATCAGTGAATCAAACAGAAAAGATCCCTAACCTCTTGAAGTTTATGTCCTAGTAGGGGATGGAAAGATGGATTATAGACAATAAACAAGTAGCAGAGGGTAAGGAGGATGGGGACTTTAGGGAGCTGAGCAGGGAAGCAGACTGTAGATTTAACAGAGTTCAGCATAGGCCTCATTGAGAAAGGGATTTGACAAAGACTTGAAGGATAGGGAGTGTTACCACTTTCTGGGGGAAGACCATTCCAGGCAGAGGAACCAGCTAAAGAAATAGCCCTTAGGCAAGAGGATTTAGTGCTTCAAAGAGAGGAAACTAATTTGGCTGAAGCCTAATGAGAAAGGAGAAGAGTAGGTGAACAATACGTTGCAGAAGTCCAAATTATGTAGATCCATTAAGTAACTAAGTAACATGAGGAGCCACTGTAAGATTTTGAGTAGAGAAACCATGAAATCTGATATACCCTGTTTTAAAGCATCACTAATGGCTGTGTTTGGAATACTCAATGGAGGGGCAAAAATAAAAGCACAGAGACCAGTTAGGGACTATCACCGTAAAACAGGTGAGAAATACTTAGTTCTAACCAGGGGTGATATCAGTGGAGGTTGGAAGAGGTGGTCAGACTGTACATATGTTTTAAAGGTACAGCCAACAGGATGTATTGAAAGATTAGCTGTAGAGTATGAGAGAAAGAAAGGATTCCAAAATGATACCCAAGTTTTTAGGCTGAGCAACAGAAAAGATGGAGTTGCCATCAAATGAGATAGGGAAGTTGCAGATAGAACAGATTTTGGGTGGGAGGATCAGGAGTTCAGTTTCAGCAATGTTAAATTTGGGATGCCTATTTAGACATGCAAGTAGGGATGAAAGTAGGCAGTTGGATATACAATTCTGCAGTTCAGAAGGAAGGTCTGGGCTCTGTATATAAATTTGAGAAATATCAGCTATAAGTAAAGGGTATTTAAGGCCAAGAAGCTGAATGATGTCACCAAAGAAAT